TCAGAGAGGAAAAACAATGTGTACTAAGATACCTGGGTAATTGTACTCAACACATAGTTGGATAAAACAGGTTCAAAGCATATCTAGCCCACAGGTACCCTGGGACTGATGAATGTCAAGTGACATAAAAAATATTATCTAGTGACAAAAGCAGTTCTCAACAGGCCAGGTCTTCCTCCAGAAGTAGGGACTGCCTGGTCAGTGTAGCTGGTGAAGTGTAAGAAGGAGCTCAAAGATCCCAGATATCTTCCCTACCAGCCTGCCGAGGTGCCCAAAAGTCCACTATGTCAACTTACTTGCATTAAGCCTTTTTCTATGAAAATGGAACATACCTTCCTCACTCCTCCTCCAGAATCCAGTACATCAGTCAACTCTCCAAGGTTAGCACAGCTTTAGTCAACTTATCAACTAGTTTTCTATCTGATGCATTTACCCTGGAATACCTGGGTAAGTTGTGATAGAATTAAACAAAGGTAAATCTTCCAGCAGAGGGGAAGGGCTGAACATCTGCAGGAAGAGATGGGGAGTAGGCAGTATGTACCGTGGTTGAATGCAAGACCCCTGGGTACCAAGATGCCTTAGCCCAGTTCTGCTACCTACTTGGTGGCTTTTGGCTAATCACTCACCTGCATTTCTTCATTTAGATAGAAGAAGATATTAACTGACAGGAGCATCTGCCTCAGTGGGCCACTGAAGAATTAAATGTGTCAATATATAGTAGGCGTTAAAACGGTATCTGACAGAGTGAGCCCTATGTGTTTGCTTCTGTCGTTATTAGGAGAGGATGGCATAAGATTTAGCCCTTAAGGGGACTGCTCCAGTCTTATAACCTACTGTCTCCTTTCCCGATTTACTGATGCAGGATTTAAGGCCTGAAAAGGAAAGCAGCTTACTGAAGGTAGCGGGCTAGTGGATGGCAGAGCTAGGGCTCCCTATCCAGAGGTGCCTCCTGCCTCCACCCATGGAACTTACTGATGCAAAAAAGAGAGGGGGTTGAGGGAGACCAAGAGAAGCCAAGATCCAGCTCCAGCATCTCTCTCTTCTGGGGATACTAGGACCAGGCCCTTTGGGACTTCTTCCCAGAGTCAGTTCCTTGTTCCCGCTTCCGGGAAGGCTCCATGTCTGAGCAAACACCGCCCTCCGACACACGCGCCCACGCCCCTGCGCCTGGGCGTACCCTCTGAGTCTGGCACAGCGCGGCAACTCGCCGCCCCGCTGGGAAGAAGAGTCCATAGCGGAATGGCCGGGAAAAGTGACACAATCCGCCCAGCGCTCTCCACGCCTGCCTCCCACGCAGCACGGGGCGGACTCTGCCCTCTCTGGGGTGCAGACGGAGCGGCAGGGGTCTCCCCGGGGCCTGCGTGCCGGCCCCAGCACCCCGAGCCGGCGGCCGGGCCCTGGGCGCGGGTACTTTTCAGCAATGCGGTGGCCCCCCGCGGATGTTTGGCCAAAAACTAGGACCGCTGCCCCCGGGAGGTGGATGACAGAATCTTGAAAGACTTTCACCAAATATGGGCTGGGGCTGGAAACGTCCTGCGCCGCCGGAAACCTGGTGTCAAGGCAACGGCGGCGACTTCGGGCGTGCGGGCCAGGCAGCCGGCAGGGGGCGGCGGGCGGCAGGCGGCCGAGGGCGCCCCTAGGCTGCAGCCCGGGGCCTCCACCGCGTCTGCCACCCACTTCCCGCTGTATCCTGGCTTCCCCTAACTCTCCCTGCGATCACCCCACCGGGTGGTGGTGAGAGGTTGGAGGGGTGTGGAGAGAAAAAGGATGGCGCGGGGCGCCACCTTAAAGGTGGCCTTTCACAATCATCATAAATTGTTCTGTTCATTAAGGAGTATAAAAAGTGGCGTTGTGAGACAAGGCGTGCAGGCGAGTAGTAAGCCTCGTCCAAGGCAGTGGTTCTCAGGGCGTGATCCCCCGCACCAGCCTCATCGTCACCTAGGGACTTATTAGAAATGTAACTAATAAGATCTCCGGGATGTGGCCCAGCAACCATTCTTTAACCAGCCCTCCAGGTGATTCTGAGACGCTTAGGTTTGAAAACCACTGGTCCAGGGCTAGGAAACCAGAGTCATCAAGTTTAAGGTGATTATTATTCTCAGTCGCCGCCAGACAGTGAAGCCTTCTTTTGGTGACCTAAAATTCCCTGGCAGCAGCGGCTGAGAGACGTCCGCACCGCTCAGCCCAAAGCCAGGCGCTGCAGAAGACAAGCAGCCCCTTCTCCGCGCCTTGTAGCCCAGGGAAACAAGGCGGCTCGTTATTCCCTCCTGGGGCACCCGTATAGGGAGGGAGGGAAGGAGGAAATAGAGCAAAATTAGTACCAAAGCAACACATACCCATAAACATTTGCATACTTCCCTCCATTCTGTCAACGTGAACTGATTTGCAGAGGAGGCTAGAAGGCGACAGGACGTCTGGGGTTTCTGGACAGTCCTAGAGCAGGACACCAGGAGCTGCTGTCTCTCTCTCCTGGTGCTTTGCTTCGCTTTACTACCAGGAGCACCAGAACATAGTATATGGAAAGGCTGTGCGAGTAAATTAACTTCTGTCTCTCTGCTCCCCGCCTCCTGGCCCTGTTTGCTACAGCTCCCCAAACCCCCTCCCACAACACACGGTCCACTTCACATGGGCAGCAGACCATAGGGTTTTCTAGGTTTCTCCTCTGATTCAAAAGCATCCTCCAAGATTTGCTAGTTAAAGTCCAGAGGCAGACTCACACACCCCTTTCAGAGAACTTTAATCTGGTTTTTAAAGGAATCCATGGAATGGCATGTTTGAATGCTATGCAGCAAACTGCATCTCTTTGCCCGACCCCCAACCCCTGCTCCAATAAGGGAAGAAGATACACACACAGGCCAGTTGGATCATCCACTGTAATTTTATTTTAAATCATGATAGACAGATTGCGTGAAAAACAAGGAATTCCAAAGAATTTCCTGCTCTGGGAACAGAAGTTAAGTCTATATTTAACATTTGAAGTTGTCAAGAATGCTTTGTGGTCGGATAACAGGCAGAAAAATGTTAAAAACGCAGGCTACTGCTATACCCAAATATGGAAATATTGTTACGTCTGGTGTCTGATTCACCATCTGGAAATACTTACAACCATGAAGTCAAATAGAAAAGACACCACAACAGAAGCCAGGAACATCCATCCTCTCCATCCATTCTCTTTCCACCACTCTCTCCACCCTGTACTGCCCCTACTCGCCCTGGTCCCAGTCACTTCATTAAGAAGGAAACAACAATAAAACTCTCACAGAAGAAAAGCCATTTTTTTCTAAACAATAACTGATGGATTAACCTGGGTATAATATAGGGTCCAGACTTTCCTTGCTTAATTTGCATAACACCTGACAATGTATTGTCTTGAAAAGACCAACCCCTCCACCAAAGCCTTAGAGAACCCACTTCCTCTAGCAAAAGCCTCAGAGAGGGCACTTTTGAATGAATGAAACTTAACTCCTTCCTGCTAGTTCTGTTCATTGGAGAATGTTTTCACTGCAATAGCTTCGCATGTGCTTCTCTATTCCAAGAAAGTCAGCACCGAATACCAAGTTTTAAGCAAGTGTTAAATTATGAAGGCTGAACAGCCCTAAACATTAAAATGCTCAAAAGAGCAAGAGACATGCAGTTCTCCTAAACCACATATAAAAGGGGGATAGACATAATCACTTGTGTATGTTTTTATTAAAATCTCACAAGAAGGCATTTTAGCAACTTTAAGGGCAAGTTTTCAGTAACACTAATGATATTGATGCTATTAAACTGTTTTGTGTTGGGGGGGGTCTTCTGCTCAGTGCGTTGCAGATAAAATAGAATCTTAAAATCTGCTAACACTTTTATGACATAGTATTACATCCTAAATCTCTTATTTCTCTGTACTTGGAGAGAAAAGCATTACAATTCATTTGAACTGGGAGGTTTCTAAGTGGTCCCAAGGAAAGGATTTAAAAATTTCGCAAAACTTTCAGCTTTAAGGAGTCTTATTTCCAGAGTTCCATTGGGCTCAGTGGTGCTGGAATCTGGTTCGGCCTTGCAGTCCATTCTGGTGATGCGCTCAGTGTAAAGCACTCCACGGTGGTCCCTTCCGCTTGGCTGACTGCTGAGTGCGCACTGCCTCCCGCCCCAGACAGCAGAGGGAGGCTGGAAGCGCCCACCGGGTCTCCCGCATCCGCGAGGAAGTGTAAGGCAGCCTGCCGGTCAACTCCCTGCCTTCGTTTCCTCTCGGACTTCCAAGCCAGGCAGTGGGCTGGAACTAAAGTGGGAACCTCCAAAAACAAACAAGTACGACAGACCGAAAAGGGGAGGGAAGAGCGCGGGGGTGGGCGGGGGGGGGGGCGCGGAAGAGGGAAGACCTCTGCCTGGAAATTTGCCAGACAAGGGGGAAGTTGATTTTCTCCCCTTCTCATTCATAAATGCCACTGCGAGTATTAGTTTGCAATACACTTATCTCAGCTAATAAACACCATGCCAAAGCTTTGGGACTGGATCCGAGCACGTCTCTATGAAGTGCACAAGTGGATCACGGGCTCAGAGCCGCTTCTCTCAACAGATAACTGGCCTCTCACCTTCGCTGTAAACAAGCAAGCAGCTCTTTGCCTTCCCGGTTGAGGGCTTCCAGGGCTGCCGGGTCAACACGGCATCACCAAACAGAACGACTTTTGTTCCTCCCTCTCAGGTCCTCCCACCTCCCAGTCCAGGCAAAGTTCTGAACTCGCCCCGCTCGACCCCTTCCACCTTCATCCCCCCCCCAAAGAGCTCTCCCCAATACAAGTCGTTATTTAGAGTGGAAAAACGGAAGATTGTTTTCTTGGGTCCGGGACCAAAAAGAAGAGGGGGGGAGGAGGGGGAAGGTGCGAGGAGCCGGGGGAGGGGCTTGGCCGCAGCCCGCGCCAGCCGCATTCCTGGGATGTTTGAGAATTCTGGAACGCGCAGCCGGGCCGACGTCACCGCAACACGCGGCGGCGCCGCCGCCGGCCCGTATAAGAGGCGGGCTCTGCGCGCTGGAGCAGACCGCGAGCGAGAGCGCCCCGAGCAGTGCCCGAGCTCGCCGCTCCTCCGCAGGAAGGACCTGGACAGAAGGACGTCCGTAGCCCTCTCGGCACCGCTGTCCTCGCCTCCCTGCCACTGGCCCCCGCACCAGCGGCCCCGACCCAGCCTCGCAGTGTCTGTGCGCTGCGCACCGGTGTGTTGGCGTCTTTGCTTCGGTGCTTGCCTGGATTCCTGCGCGCCACAATGAGGTTCTTCGAGGCCAGTGCACTTGTCGCCTTCATCGTCGTCTTCATCGTCCACTTGGGCAAGGCGGTGAGTTCTTTTGCCTCCTCTTCCGTGTCCGCTCTCCCAGCGCCTTGGCCTTTCCCCAGATTGCCCACCCCAGGGAAGAAACCAAAAACCAACCTAAATTAAACAGTTTGGGGGCATTTCAGGGTAGTTTTTTCTTTAAACTCCCCGTAAGGATGTGTGCGGGGCCTCCTGGCCAACGTAAGCCCTGCCCGGAGTGGCCGGGCTGGCTGGACGGGATCAGAGATGCCCCTGGGTGCTCTCCTGCTCATTGCTCTGAGTCTCACGCGAGTCTTCTCCCCCTCCAGGCGCGCGCCACCTGCCCCGACGCCTGCCACTGCCCCCTGGAGGCGCCCAAGTGCGCCCCGGGAGTCGGGCTGGTCTGGGACGGCTGCGGCTGCTGTAAGGTCTGCGCCAAGCAGCTCAATGAGGACTGCAGCAAAACGCAGCCCTGCGACCACACCAAGGGGCTGGAATGCAATTTCGGCGCCAGCTCCACCGCTCTGAAGGGGATCTGCAGAGGTAAGATGCTTGTGGTTTGGCCCCTTTAAAAAAATAATAGTCCCCGTAGTCCAGAAGTTTAGTAATTTTGAGACCATGTATGGTGATGCTTTGTTGTTGGTAGCTTGGCAGAAAGGCACATGATTTCAGCAGTCTGGAATGCAATTCAGTGTGTCTGGGCCCAACGAAAAGCGCATACGGAAAAGTGATTCCTGACTAACTTATTGTTCTGGTCTGGAGTCTCTGGGGAATTGTAGGGAACTTTACCATAAATTGAATTTAACAGCAGAAAATATGTATGCGTTTCAGGCCGTGGCTCGGAATCTTAACTTGATTCTCGTCTCCCTTTCTCTTTTGGTGCTTCCTGCAGCTCAGTCAGAAGGTAGACCCTGTGAATATAACTCCAGAATCTACCAGAACGGGGAAAGTTTCCAGCCCAACTGTAAACATCAGTGCACATGTATTGATGGTGCCGTGGGATGCATTCCTCTGTGTCCCCAAGAACTTTCTCTCCCCAACCTGGGCTGTCCCAACCCTCGACTGGTCAAAGTTACTGGACAGTGCTGTGAGAAGTGGGTCTGTGATGAGGATCATGCCAAGGACCCCATGGAGGACAGCGATGATTTCCTGGGCAAGGGGCCCACATTCGATGCCTCGGAGGTGGAGTTAACGAGGAACAATGAATTAATTGCATTTGGAGAAGGTGGCTCCCTGAAGCAGCTCCCTGGTAAGTTGAAACTGAGCCCTTAAAACACAGTAGTGAAATACATTCCTAGTATTATATGATGCTTTGTAGAACCGAGGACTTGAATCTGTTGTCAGTAAGCCTCTGAGACATCTTTCTTATTTGTCTCTTTAGTGTTTGGAATGGAGCCTCGCATCCTATACAACCCTTCTTTACATGGCCAGAAATGTATCGTTCAAACAACTTCATGGTCCCAGTGCTCTAAGACCTGTGGAACTGGTATCTCTACACGAGTCACCAATGACAACCCTGAATGCCGCCTGGTGAAGGAAACACGAATTTGTGAAGTGCGGCCTTGTGGACAGCCAATGTACAGCAGCCTAAAAGTAAGTGCCTGCGGCGGCAGGTGGACTGTTCCCTGGGAGCTGGGTGAGGTGTGAACCTCGCTTCCAAGAAAGAGAACCGTTGCCTCTAACTTTTCTTCTCTCGTCTTTCTTACAGAAAGGCAAGAAATGCAGCAAGACCAAGAAATCTCCCGAGCCAGTCAAGTTTACTTACGCTGGATGTTCAAGTGTGAAGAAATACCGGCCCAAGTATTGCGGCTCCTGCGTGGATGGCCGATGCTGCACGCCCCAGCAGACCAGGACTGTGAAGATGCGCTTCCGCTGTGAAGATGGGGAGATGTTTTCCAAGAACGTCATGATGATCCAGTCCTGCAAGTGCAATTACAACTGCCCGCATGCCAGCGAGGCTGCGTTTCCCTTCTACCGGCTGTTCAATGATATTCACAAATTTAGGGACTAAATGCCACCTGGGTTTCCAGCACGAGGGTGGACAAATGGGGGAGAGTGCCAGAATCATGGAGACATGGGTGGGGGAGGTGGGGGTGAAGGGACTCATTGTAGAAGGGATGTATTGCTCATTCTTGAGTAGTGTTAAGGTATTTCGAAACTGCCAGGTATGCTGGTGTGGATGAACACTAATGCAGCCGCAATTGGAAAATACTTTGCTTCATAATATTGGAGCACATGTTACTGCTTCATTTTGGAGCGTGTGGTGTTTGTTGATGATGTTCTGTTTTCTGTTTGTAAATTATTTAGTAAGCGTGTTTTCCTGTAGGCTTTATTCCTTTCAGTTCTGAAACTGTAAAAGATAATAAGATTATTTGGACAGTTAAAGCCTTCATCCTTTGACAGAAATAAGTGGGAGGGGGCTGCATCCCCTCCTGAAGGGGACACTCTGTGAGTGTCCATGAGAGGCAGCTATCTGCACTCTAAACTGCAAACAGAAATCAGGTGTTTTTAAGACTGAATGTTTTTATTTATCAAGATGTAGCTTTTGGGGAGGGTGGGGAAATGTAATACTGGAATAATTTGTAAATGACTTTAATTTTATATTCAGTGAAAAGAATTTATTTATGGAATTAATCATTTAATAAAGAAATATTTACCTAATATCTGAGTGTATGACATTTGATATTTTTAGAGATCGCCCAAAGTCATTATGCAAGCATTCAAGTGGGGTTTACTGAGTGTCTGTTTAGTTCAGGGTCAGCGCTGGGTACTTGGGATAGAGCAGGGAAATAACCCACAAAAGTAAAACAACGGTTGCTTTTATATCATCAGTAGAGAAAGATTTTTGCATTTAAATATAGTCTGCATAAAAAACTGCATTGAACACCAGGCACTGAGAAGCACGAGAAGGAATCTGAAGCCAAGTTTGTGATTTAAATAACAATGCCTTGTTTATATAAAAAATCAAAGCTAAGGGTCTCCATCACCCAATCACTGTGAGGTTGGCATGGTAGAGTCATTTATCATTTTAATCACTAGGTTATTGTGTATGCAGCTGGAGTAGAGGAGAAAAACTTGAATGGAAACAGCCCACAACTGAGCCCGCACATGTGCACATGGATGGGTGACATTAAGTGTGGTTGGGTCATGTGTTATAAACGGTCACTTGTTTACAACTTCATATTTTACCGATATTGTTTTGGAGACTAAGGTGAACTACTAAAACATGCCCTTGGTTGGGATCTGAGGGAAAAAAAAGTCTTTGTGTCTATAAGAGTCAGTTTATCTTCACGGAATAAACTTGAAGCGATGACTGGTGTTAATCCTAATAAGCTGGTGATTAGGTAAACACGCTGTTAAATGCAAAGGAATGCAAGGAATTTCAAGTACTTTTCCAGTAGCGTGAGGACTGAGCTGTCCCATCCCCCTTTCCTTTTTATAATATACATTATACTGGTGGAGGAGGGAACAGTTAGAAAGAGTTGGTTGTCCTGAAGGTCAAAGGCTTAGATGCAGAGCATTCCTGAAAGAAAAGGACCTGAATCATAGGTTAGAAGAGGTTGAGAAGCCTGTGCTAATGTTTGTGAAAATGTTGGTAGCCTGTTTTAGAAAAAACTACATCTTTAGAAAGCGCTGACAATAAACCTTTTATAGAGAGAAGTTTTCCTTTCATCGACCTTCTTGGCTCCTGTTCAAATCCATAGTGAAATATTTCAGTCTGCACTTGGTTAAGAGAGTACTTGAATTTTTAGGCAATAAGAGAAAGTGCTTCAAAAGGGGAGGAGGGGGACAACTCCTGGGGTCCTGTAAGGGTGATTTTTCAAAATAGTTAAATATTGGTGTTCTTATGAAGACTTGCAGAAAAGCACTGCCTAAGCATCTGTTTTAAAGGCTTACTGAAATGCATGAAAGTATGATGCTAAAATCGATGGGCAAAGGCCTTCACTTCTGATTTTGACAATGTCTTGCCTGAAGTACTACAATTTGTGCCTACTGAGGAGTCAGTTTTTCCTGCCTGAGGCGTTCAAACTTTAAGGTATTTGGGAATTTAAACACCACCTGGTTCGATCTTGAATGCAATTAAACTTGTCAATGCAGTATAACACGCAAAACCTAATAAAGGTGTGAGGTTTTTGAGGTGCAATTTTGTTGAACAGACATCTAAATTCATGGGTAAAATTTACAGATTCCCACACACCAACACTGAGATATTTTTCTCCAACACTAGCGACTAGCAAATTACTTCTTACCCAGAGATCAAAGAGCAATATTTTACAGATCTTTTAAGGTGTAAGGAGGTGATATTTGTCCAAATAAGCTCAAATGCGAAACAAGATCTAGCATGGGAACACGCTGGACCTTTGGGTCATTAATCTTACTGTAGTAAATACAATAAGTAATGCATGAGTGCTGATTCTGTTTAAAGAAAAATGCTCAATTAACTGAAAAGATAAATAGGTTCTGGCCAGTGTGGCTCAGTTGCTTGGATCATTGTCCAGTAAACCAAAGGTCATGGGTTCAATTCCCAGTCAGGGCACATACTTAGGTTATGAGTCTGGTCCCTGGTCGGGGCGTGTGAGGGTGGCAGCTGGTGGATATTTCTCTCTCACACCGTGTTTCTCTCCCTCTCTCTCTTCCTTTCCCCTCTGTAAAAAAAAAAAAAATCAATAGGCACATCCTTGGGTGAGGATAAAAAGAAAAGAAAGAGTAAAAGATGAGTACCTGCAAATTATTTCCATTTTGTTTAGCTATAGAAAAAAGTGAAGAAATTTAAAGTGGTTGAGAGTGAAATTATGTGATTTAGAACATATAACTTCTGCCTAGGTCTGGCATGGAGCTCTGCCTCCTGCAAATACTGAGCAAACAAAATAAAAAACCGTGCATCTGCATGTATGAAAGAAAAGTTACACACATAATAAACACTCACCATGATATATATGTACCCCTCTGTGCACGGTTAATAGTGTGTGTTGTTCTCACTTTCCAATTCAAAAGACCTTAGTGGGTTTTTCTTAGTCTTGATGGAGATATAAGAACTGAGAGTTATACAATGACCCCAGAGTCTTAGAATTTTAGTGAATTTTAAGAAATATTCAGCTGGACACTTACAAGTATACTAAATGTCCAGCTCTGAAGATTTTCACATAAATGCGTGTCCACTCTACGAAGAGATGTGACTGGGTCAAAATTAGCAAAGCGTATTTCAGCTATTTTTCCAATGGAGATACCAGACTTGATTTGTTCCCAACCTCTCCTCCTGCCATCTGGCAGTATTTGAAAGTCAGCTGAGCACTAGCAAGGGTCCAGCAGGACCACAGTGCAGAGCAGAGCTGTGTTCTGCTCAGAGTGGCAGGTGATGCAGTGGAAAGAATCCCAGATTGGAATCTGGAGGCATGTCTTTCCCACCAACTCTGCCATTAATTTACTGGGTGACTGTGGGCAAGTTTCTGGATGGTGCTTTCTTGTTTAAAATGGAAAACAGCTTCCAGCATTTTTTGTCAGAACATTCTTTTGCATACACTATCTTTGGTGCATTGATTCCCATACCTTGAAAACTTTGTCTCCTTAAGCAATTGAGTGTAGGAAGTGAGACTGCTCAGGTCTCTCTGTGGGCATGTGAACTCATCTCTGTGAAGCCTTTGAAGCATGCCTGGTGTAGGATGTGGCAACCCCTGGGTCTCACAGTCAATAGGTCCACATGTTCATCTCCCTGTATAGCCCTGATCGCTGGGCCTCATCCAGTCCCTGCCCTAAATAACTCATTCTTTGAAACAAAGCACACTGTGAAGCATGACAATGATGCGTGTGTCCTGTGAATAGAACACACTTGTTTGTGACTTACTTTATTGGTGGTGGGCAACGCTCATTCATGTAATCTTATAAAGTGCAATTCAATTAAACAAGTACTCAGATGCATTCGTTAGTGCTTTATAGTTCTCATATATTCTGCTCATATGTTCTAAATCCACCCCTTTCTTATGTCCAAATCTAAGCCACCATCATGTCTTGCCTGAATTGCTGAAATACCCTCCTCACTGTGGCATATTGTATTCTCTGAAGGTGGCTGCAGTGTCTCCCATCCCGCATCTCTTTCCGTGATGTGACTCTTTGACTGCTTATTCAGTGAATATCTAGGAAGTGATGCAACATGGTGCTAGTTCCAAATGTATCATGGGCTAGGAGCTCCTCCTTCCTTTCTCTTCGAAATGAGCTTCCACATAAGAAGTACAACTACCCCGAGACCAGCAGACTGTGAGAACCACATCACATGGACAGGCCCTAGAGGGCGAGATACCACGTGGAAAAAGAGAAAGGTCAGGGAGTACCTGGGCATCACACACGTGTGATAAAACCATCTTGGAAGTGGGTCCTCCAGCCCCAGCTGCATCACAAGTTGATGTCTTGTGAATCGGAGATGAACTACCAGTCAAGCCCTTACTCATGGACTTGACCAGAACTCATGATCCATGTTATAGCAAATTAATATGGTTATTTTAAGACCTTAAGTTTTATATGTTGATTGTTACCCAGCGATAGATAACTAAAACATCATTGGGGTTCGTGCTTGCCCTGCAGTCATTCATTTTCTTTTCTTTTTTTTTTTTTAATGATTTTTTCAAGATTTTATTTATTTATCTGTAGAGGGGAAGGGAAGGAGATAGGGAGAGGAATATCAACGTATGGTTGCCTCTCACTGGCGTGCAACCCAGGCATGTGCCCTGACTGGGAATCGAACCATGATACTCTGGTTCGCAGGCCCTTGCTCAATGCACTGAGCTACACCAGCCAGGGCTCAATCATCCATTTTCCTTATAGGAGCCAGTGATCCTTTAAAAATGTAAATCAGAACACAGCAGTCAATCTTAGCTTAAAGTCTCCATGGCTTCCCCTTACTTTCAGAAGAACATTCAACTTCCTATTTGGCACAGAGGTCCTGGACCCTGCCCACTTCTTACCACTCACCCTCAGCCACTGGAATCCCACCTGCCTTTTCCTCTGAAATAAGCCAAGTAAATTACCCCTCAAGGTACTTTGCACAAGCTGTTGCTCTGCCTCAAATGTCCTTCTCCTCCTTGAAGCTTCTTGTCATGCAGGTCTCAGCACAAACACTACCTTCTCAGTGACGACCCCTCACCACCCAGTCTAAAGAGTTCAACGCATTAAGCAGTTTTATGTACGTCCTGGCATTTAGCACTGCCTGATAGTTTCTTGTTTATTATTATGCCTGTCCATCTACAATAACCTGTATGAGAGCTGAAATTTTTGTCTCCTTTCTTCACCACTGTAAAAGCATCAGTTCACACTGTGTCTGGCATAAAGTAAGTGCTCATTAATATAGAATTTATGTTGCCTTTAGCTGAAGGTACCCCCTCACTGGCACTTCTCTTTCGCCTTTGGCTTTCCTCTAGCTTGTCAGTCAGCCATTCATCCTTTCATTCATACATCCACTCACTAACCACTTGTGGGCACCACTGTGTTTCAGGCACAGTACTATGCAGCAGTTCATAAATCATGGTTCCTTTACTTTGTGGTGGTGGGGAGACATACATATAAGCAGAAGTTTGTTAAGGTTAGGTTCAGTTGCAAGTCAGAGATACCTCAAGTAACAATGCTTAAGTGACACAGAAGTTTGTTTCTTTCACATG